GGGGGGGGAGGGGGCGGGGACAGAGAGGGTGTGTTTGGGAGGTGTCAGGAAGGGGGTTGGGGGTGCAGCCAAGGGGGTGCAACTTGTTCTTATTGGAAAAGAAGGTGGGCATTAAAGGGGGAAAAAAAAAGGCCATCATGCTTGCCTATGAAATTATGAATGCATTTATAAGATTCTGTTTCAGATGGGAGTAGCGATTCTCTCTCTCAGTGCCCGGGGGGCAAACTCAACTCACCGAGCAATGTCAAGAGTGTAACGTAGTATTTGAGGCACATTGAGGTGTTTCTCCTGGGACAGCATCTCGAAAAGATCACCCTGAACAAATATTCATTGTCATTATGTTAAATTACACATTGCAAATTTGCAATTCGGTTATCATAGTTTCAGGATATTGAAAACAACAACAATGGAAGCAAACAATGCATAAGATTATCAGAAACTGGAAATTAAAGTTTCAAAAGCTGACCTTCTTGTTTTTCTCTTTCTCTTTCTTACTTCTCTTTCTTTCTTTACAAGCCAACTGTGTATTTCCCATGAGATTCAAATTTCAAAGTACTTCAATCAAAATCCAAACAGTCCAAACAGGTAACAAACAACTATAGCTATTACAATGTAAAACTCTATTGAATCAGAAAGCAGATCATTCTTCTTCTTCTTCTTCTTCTTCTTCCTCTTCTTCCTCCTTTCTTCTTCTTCTTCTTCTTCTTCTTCTTCTTCTTCTTCTTCTTCTTCTTCTTCCTCCTCCTTTCTTCTTCTTCTTCTTCTTCTTCTTCTTCTTCTTCTTCTTCTTCTTCTTCTTCTTGCGAAATAGCAATTTGTATTAATTCCTCCCTCACACAGTTGAACCCACTCCAACGCTTCCCTCCATTACGTCTGAGAGAATCTGACATCAAGGTGTTGATTGCTTCCTATGTTCTGGAAGGATTTAGCCCCATTCTGCCCCTGTGAGATGTACTATCCCCTTCTTCCTCTTGTTGTCCCTGAGTTAACTACCACTGCTGCAAACAAAAGGGTCCAAAGACTGCAAGCTGGCTGCCTGATAATGCCTATGAAGTTATGAACCAAGAACAAACCCTTTTGGGGGTCCTCCTGGAATCCCCCAAAGAGGCCATGGCTGGTGGATGGTGGCTGCTGACGACCCTCTGACTCTTATGCAGTCTCCAACAGTGTTGGGCCAGCAACCGGCCAGTTGGACCGGCCCGGATGCAACCAGGACGGATCAACCCAGGTCCTCCAACCGGAATTCTGGTTGGGCTCAAAACCGGTCCAATTTTATTTTTTTTGGGGGGGGGCAAGTACATTCAAGTCACCTTAGTATGGAATGGGAAAAAAAAATGCGAGTCGGCAAAGAAAACCGCGCCGAGTTTGAAAAGGCAATGGAAGTACCGATCGCCGTGGTGTCAGACCGGGTGTCATGTCTACAGGGGTCGGCCGTGGTGGCACAGGGGAAAACCAAAAAAAACAAAAAATGCCCAACGAAGACTTTTGGACCGAAATTGCTCATTTCGAGTTGGCGCGTGGTTTCTTTGCCGGCGCAAGTTTTTTTGCCTTTCGGGTTTCAAAACATGCCACATCTGCCACCATTTTTTATTTTTTTTTCCCGAAAGCACAGTTAGACTGCGCTCGCTGAGAACAGAATCCACAAAAAAAATCCGTGAACTTCTTTTTGGTAGGTTGGGGGGGGGAGGGGTGGTGGGGGTCTGGGGGGTTATCGCAGGGGTGGGGTTCTTAGTGGTGGTGTTACAGCAAGCATGGGCATCAGAAGACAAGCATAACAGCATACCTGGCCATCAGCAAATGTGGACAGCAGCATACCTGTAGCATCAAGCAACAGGGAGAACACCATACCTCACCTCACCAACACCAAACATGGCCAAACATGGACATTGGCATGCACTGGCATTGCAATCAACAGATGGAGAAGATATAGTAAGAAGAAGAAGAAGAAGAAGAAGAAGAAGAAGAAGAAGAAGAAGAAGAAGAGGAGGAGGAGGAGGAGGAGGAAGAAGAAGAAGAAGAAGAAGAAGAAGAAGAAGAAGAA